AGCAGTAAAAGTGTAATGTCCATACCTAGGACTCCACAAGTCAAGAGCACTAGTTCTGCTGAGCCTGGATCTCCAGTCTGTACTAATGTGTTAGTGGCAGCCCTGATCCAAATGCTGAACTGACAGTTTGATTTCTACATCTTCCACTTCCCACATATACGTGACCCCCCCCAAAAAATCCTGGGCTTATTCAGAGTAAACGTGATTCATTTGTAAAGTTGGTAGAAGAATCAGGATCACAGTTTGTATTTTCAGACTGCCAATACTATGCCTTAACTACAACTATCCTGGATGAGAGAATGTTGGACTCTTTATCCTGATTGCAACATTATGATGTAAATGTATAAGCATGACATGTAAATAGGAATATTTAAAATACTTTAAATACATGTTCATTAAACATAACATTCCATTCACAAGAATTTGTTTAATAATTTTAAGTTGTCAGTCATCAGCCAAGTGCCATACCATTCAGCAGGTGCCCAGCAGACTCACACACTTTGTCTCCTTCAACCAGTCACAGAGGTTGAAAATTATGTTATAGCAGACAGCAGTGAATTCTTCTCTTATAACATCAGATCCATCATTCATTTACAGAATTACTGTACTTAGGGAAGAATCATGTAACTGCCATTTTTGGCACATGTGCACAGTGGGCAGTTCTACTCCATGTGCAGTGTAGACATGTAAGCATCTACATGCAGCTACTGCTTTCTGTCTGAGTAGGTATATGGCTTCATAAATATATGCCTTAGTATAAGTCCTGAAATTCTGGCTGAATAAAAACCGGCAGGGAAGTGAGAATAGCCTTTCATGTTTTAGCTCAATATCCTATTGGTTAGGGTATTTATCCAGGAAGTAGATGACAGAGGTTCTAGGCCCCCATCACCCAGAGGAGTCTCAAATCTACATTTCTCTGACTTCCCAGTGCAGTTCTCTAATTACCAGACCACAGGTTAGGCATTAAATAATATGTTGTTCTGCTTCTCTAATTTCTATTATCTTTTATTGTAAGTTACCCTGAGCCTTTCCTGCATATCAATCTAACAAACAATTCAGTCCTTCTTTTGAAACTAAGGCACTGTACTTAGGAAAAAAACTGATGGGGGGGAGGGGGGCAATGAAGACATTTCCTGCCAAACTGGAGTAGAAATTGCATTAGAATCAGTGTCCAGGTTAGGACCCAGAGCCCCTTTCTTCTGGAGCAACATCTGTCTCATAAGCCATGCAACTACAAGCTTATTTACTTCCTTCTGGCCCCAAATAGGCCAGTTTCAAGAGCAGGGTTGGATCTGGGAATGTAAGATGTTTAATCAGTGGGCTGGTGGTTGGCAAGATGTGTTAAGAAGTTGATGCAAGCTCAAAACCCTTTGTTTGTGAGGTGCCTAGAATATGGGTTTTCTTTTTCCCGGGCAACTGCTTTAACCACTAGGCTGAAAGGTCCTTGTTTTTCTGATGTCCAGTCCTTGTTAGTCATAAGGTGTTGCCAGGTACAATTTCATGACTTACAGTACGCCCACCATGAGTAAGCATGTACAGAGCTGCCTATCTTCCTGGCCAGTCTATTTACTATACTTGCTTAGCAATAGTATGGACATTAAGGCATCCACACTGCATAGGAAGTAAACTGAAAACTGTGTAAGTGCCAAAAATAGCAATTATGCATATTCAATGTATGCATTTGCCTGCATGCGTTGAAATAGGATTCTGCTCTAAGTGCTCAATGTAAGAAGAATGAGCATCTAAGAAACAGAAAAGACAAGAAAAGACTTGTGCCATTATAATGACTGGTGTTCTTACGAAGACAGAAAGGTGGCTGGGGAGTGGGAATCAGGGTTCTTGCTGACTGGCTATCAAATCTTGAAGAAACCAGTGAACTTCTTCATTCATTCTTCTATGAAATGAGTACACCACTACTTGACAGGATGCTTTATGAAGATGTTATATTAGCGTTGTTATATAAGCCCTATTTTTTAAAGGTTTTAGGTCTGTAATGATGAGCAGACAGGGGTTTACTGGGATTTTCAAAAAGGCTTAAGCAGGTTAGGTACATAATTGTCATTGAACTTAATGCAACCTCTGACCTGCACTTTTAGAAATCCAACTAGTCATTTATCAGGATCAGTGGTGACCCTAAAAAAGCTGGCTTTTAGACACCTGTCATTGGATATTTTGTTGGCTAGACATACAATTTTCATAAAGCACCTAAGTGACTTAGAACCACAAATTTTATTGATTTTTAGTGTGACCTCAATCATACATACTTTTAAACACCAAACTAAGAGCCTCATGTAAGGTTCACAGGGAAGCTAAAATTCATCTTTCAATCCAAAACAAATCTCATAGCACATTGGAAGAGACCATAAAGCAACCTTAAAGAAACATTTTCTTATATGATTAGGCCACATAGGAAATAGTCCAGTTAGGAAAGTGGGATCTGACCAGATACAAAGCCACCTTCAGAGAAGCACTATGAACTTTGCCATACAAGTAATACCCTTCCACTTATGCCCAGTTGCTGTGGATACACTTACATAGTAGGGTAATGGGCAAGGTAAAAGAATATAAACATTAATGGAAAAAACTGCAGCTGAGTCCCTGCCATTTCTTGTCTCAAATGATATTGCCTGAGGGAAGAGTGGAATGGGTCTGAGGAATCTCACAATATCTTGTTTAGAGGGTATCTTTGGGTGTTTCTGCATCTTGTTCCTGGGGAGTAACACTCTCAAGCATACTTCACCTCTCCACTCCTGGTTGCATACACCAAACCTGAAAATGTAGTTATGAAACCACTTGGAGGGCAACTCACTCGGCCCCTACCCCTCTTCGCCATCATCACTAACTAAAGACAGCAGCCTTGAGAGTGGCCAAAAAGAACATCCCCAGAGTGACTTCACCACCACATCTCCAGGTTTGGCAAGTGCCACCAGAAGTGACTGGGTGGGACGTGCTCATGACTGTCCTTCCCCAGAAGGCAGGAGGATGGAGGTAGGATATGTCTATAAGGTAGGTACAGATATTCAAAAAGCCTAAGGCAGCATTAATCTAAGTTACAGTTTTCTGTAAGCAGCATAGTTTAGATCAGTAGTTAACAAAACACACATTTGTTCTTTGGTGGGGGGAGGGGAACCTTAGACCAGGTTCCTCCATTTTTAACTGGTTTGTGTGTGCTGGACTTCAATTATATTACAAGCTATAGATCAGTTTCCAATCACTTATACTGGTAAAAGTGTATTGTCTGCACCTGGCCATAAGCTCTTCCTGGAGTCATAAAGAGGAGAAGGAAGATTGAAACCTTGAATGCAGATGATCAGCTTGCTCAGGTACTGAACTAGAAATCAAAAGCCCTGAGTTCAATTCTTCCATAATTTTTCTAACAGATTTTGGGATTCTTCTGCCTTCTCAGTGCCTTATTTTTTTTTTAGTTTATCTAATATTGGATTCATAATATTTACCTGACTTGTAAGTAGGCTTAATGTAATAACGGTTGCAAAGTGCTTAAAATCTTCAAATAGAAGTACAAAATATTATTGCTGAATGGACAGTAAGGAGTGGCATTTGGGGTAACAAAAGGTTGGTACTGGAATTATTTTAATATAGAGGGCTGGATTTGCAAACTGTCTATGTGAAAGTTTTAGCTTACTTTATGGCCTATACTGCTTCAATTCTGTTCTAGGACAACATGCCTCTTCTTTCAGTATTTTTAGCATTTCAGGATGTTGGTAGACTGGATATTTCATACTTCTATTTGTGTTATTAGAATTTTCTCTACTCTGAATTTGAGTTCCTCACTCCCTGCTTACCACGGTATATACTATATAATAGGCCTGCTCAAAGCAGCTTGTATTCGATTCGGATTCGGCCGATTGAGGAGACAGTGATTTGATTTGGTGATTCAAATCTTCACGTAAACTGTTCTGAACCGATTTGGCTGAATCTCTGAATCAGCCCCATCCCCCGCGCGCTCTCTCAGCCCCATCAATGGCTGTCTCACCCAGCCCAGCTCCTGTGGCTCTTTGAAAAAAAGCCTGGCACTCACCAGCTGCTGCCAGGTGGTGGTGGGGGGAGAGGGGGTTATCCCTGCTGCCACCCACCGCCCCATGCTGTATGGGGGGTTCTGTCACAAGCCCCCATCCCCCACCTGCTCTCCTAGCCCCAGCTCCCAGCTCTTTAAAAGAAAAAAAAAGCCTCCACTCACATGATGCTGCCTGGCAGGGGGGTGATTCCCACTGTCCCCTACTGCATGGGAGCCTCTGCCATGAGTCTCTTGACCTCTGCTGACTCTTCCAGCCCTCCTCCCCCCTCCCCCCACCCCACATGGCTGCAGTGCCTGCCCCAGCTCCCGGTTCTTTAAAACTAAAAAAAAGCCCCGCACTCACCCGTTCCTGCCAGGCAGGGGGTGCAATCCCCATTGCCCCATGCTATGTGGGCGGCTCTGCCATGAGCCCCCAGAAGTCCTGAGGCCTCTGCAGCAGCAAGTAAGTGGCTGCTTCTTTGTGGGTTTTTTTTTTTTTTTTAAAGAGTCAGGATCTGTGGCCAGGTGGGTCAGCCACGGGGTGGGCTGGGAGAGTGGACAGGGGTTTGGAGACTCATGGCAGAGCTCCCCATGCAGTGTGGGGCAGTGGGGATCACCCCCCTGCCTGGCAGCAGTTGGTTAGTATGGGCTTTTTTAAAAAGAGCCGGGAGTTTGGGTCAAGCGGGAGGCTGGGGTCAGGGGGTGCTCAGGGGGGTTGGGAGAGCAAGCAGGGGATGGGGCCTAGCAGGGATCCCCCAATGGTCCCTTCCCCACTTTCCAGGCCCTCCTCCCTCACCCCTACTTACCAGCATGGAGTCCAGGTCCAGCTCTTAGCGGCAACCAGCAAAGACTGCATGAATCTCCAAAGTTCTCCGAACCTTTTCTGAATCGAATCGGAGAGCTTCAAATTGATTCAGACCTTTTAACTTGTCTCCTGATTTGATTCAGATTCAGAGATCCGGCCACTGAATTGGACTGAATCTCCTCCAAATCAAATCAGCACCTGAAGCTTCACATAGCCCTCGTATATAAAGGTTTCCAGAAGGGCTCTGTAGAATTGTAGGCTTCCAATATGGATTGAACTTTTTACTTTATATAGGGAGGGCTGACATTTTTTGCTTTATCAAGATTTTGACTGTAGCCATTGCTGATCAGCTGCTTGAAAACTATACAGGGAAAGAAGACAGTCATCTGGCAGTCTCTGTAATCATTGGGATATAGTGTGCCCATACACATAACACTGTACATTGAAATCACACTGAAGATATGGAAGATGGTGAATTTCTATGGCAACTGTGGAGGTTTTCCTGGGATTTAAGCCCAAGTAGTTGAGTAAAGTTGAATGGCTACCAATGACCATGTCCTGCAAAAAAAGAAAATCTGAGTCATTTGGACAATTTATGGGCTTGACTGTAGCTTTAACTGACTAAAAGGAAAACTTGTATTCCAAACTAGAAGCAGCACAGACTAACCCTATACTGAAAGGGAAGCATTTCCCATCTTCAAAGGACTTTATAGCCAAACAGGTAAAAATGTATATAATGACTACACAACGTATGTCATGTAGTATTGATTTGTGCAAGATGAAGTTATGTAATTTTGAAAAATACATGGAAATGTTTTAAGCTGATCTAGATTTGAATAATAACAAGGTGTTGACACCATATATGTCCGATAACAGTGGGAATTAAAGAAAAGCACACTGGCAAGCTTTTGAGATCATGACAGAAAGAGACCTTCATCTTGCAGGGTTACATAATTAAGAAAGTTTCATAACCCTTGCTATACCTTCACTGTATTTATTACTTACCATGAGCTCAATTCACTCCTCATCAGCCCACTGCTTGAGTCATGAAAGAGTAATGAAAAAAAATCATAAGAAAAACATGTATAATCAATGAGGAGTTTTGGAAGTGAGGACTGGAAAGAAATTACAAACACACTGTTCTATTTTCTTGGCCCTTTAAGGTTTTGTGGGTTTATCCTCTTAATTCCTAATGGACAGTGATTTACATCACAAAACCACCATATTTGGTATATAATTCAGCATTATTGACTATTTCTGCCCCAGAATGGCCTGTGGCTAGAAAAAGAGGGATGTCTCAGAACACACCAAAAGAGCTGGATTTTCTAGTGTTCAGTACTCACCATTGGCCTAAGAGTGTCCTAAATGTTCAGATCAAGCACCTAAATAAAGGAAATATATCAAGAGTGCTTAGCAGCTCCCATTATTTTATGCTGCTTAGAGTATCATAAGTTTGCTCCATCATGATGAATTCTCCTAAAAATCTAAATCTAACGTTGGGGGCTAAGTACTTCAGAAAACTGCCCAGTGCCAATCCTTACTATGTCAATCTTTGTGCAAAAATGTGTGTAGAATTGCAAATAAATGAAGATTTACATTGGGTTTTAGTGCAATGATTAACATTAGCCCCAATTTATAGAAGTCCCAGATGTCTGACTCCTGAAGTTTGCAGTGCATAAGGTTGATATATGCATCTGCAATTCCTACTTTTCCTGCATTAAATCCATCTCCTTGTCTCCAAACCTTGAGGATGCTGTGCCAACTACTGAGCTCTTCAGAGAAACTGGTATTCTTAATGCTGCACAATGAGAAGACCTGGACACTAGTAAGATAAATGGTTCTCTCACATCCAAGCAAGCAGATCCATATGGTATTTTTTCCCTTCTGTGTAAGTCCAGCATCTGCTGGATACATTTTGGCTGCACAAAATCCTGTGGGATACATAGATATTCCTGGCAGCCTAGGCAGCTAGAAGATGGAGCTACCTTGAATCTTGAAAAAGAGGTAGCAACCCCAGACACTGCAAGACATTCAATCTTTCCTCACAGTGGCACAAAAAGGGTGATGTGACCAGGGAAGCATCCCTGGATGCTAACTTGGCTGGGGAGGCAGGGCGAGAGGCAAAAAAATAAATGCACTAGCAGTATGGCAGCAACTGGAAGTCACCACTGCCTATGTCTGTGACAGCTTCTCCCAGAGCAGAGCCATATCATTATGCCTGTTTTCTCATAATCTTTCCTTCCTGTTTCCTCAAAATCTAAAATGATTAATGGAGATCCAGGCTATGTTGGTGGAGTTTAATTGACACCCAGCAGGTTGGTTGTAAGTTTCACAAAGTTCTCTAATCACAGGAGCCAAACTTCCAAGTGAACCAACCGTTAGGTAAATCTTGTTTATGCAACTCTCCTGAACTCAATCCTGGAGTGCTTGCAACCCTAGCAATTAGAGCTGCTGATTAATACCTCACATTCACAGCACTTGCATAAACATAAAAATCGTAAGTGACAGCAACACAGAGTGTCATTAGGACAAACTTAACAACAAAATACCTGTCACCTACCTGCTCTAGCAAGTGGGTCTGATTTTGTAAAGTGATGAAGTGTGAGTGGATGATGATATTTTTGGAGCTGGCTTTTGCTCATAACACTACAGTAGAGGGCAAGGTTTCTTATTTTTTCCCTGTGTCTGATCAGTCTTTTCTCATCCTATGAACTTGCCCATTGGCAAGCTAGGCAGCAAAGAGTAGTTTCACCTCACTCCCTTCTGTGGGTGAGACAGGACCACCTCAGCCTCCATCCCTCACTTCTGGCCACCTCAAGAGAGAAGCTGAGGTGGAGAGGTCTTTACTGCTGGGCAGTGAAAACCTGCCTGGGAAGCAGGGTACGTGCTTGAAGGGGGACACCTAACAGAAACAGGTGGGCAGAAAGAAAAAGCGACATCTGTGAGCAAAGAAAAAAATAAACCTATAGGCTAAGTGAGTAGTGACCCAGGGAGAGGTGATATGGGATGACAGGGGGGCCCGTTTTGTTGCCGGAAAGGGGAACATTAGTTACTTTTTAGTTAATAGATGGTGTGGTAAAAAGATCAGTTACATGAGGACAGAGGATCGGTTGGTTGTTTAGGCCTGGGGTAGGTGGGCAGTGGGCTCAGACATTTGGGGTAGGGAGAAGAAAATGAGCAGGCTAAGAGGAAAATGAAGCATGGCAACAGAGATTGGCTAAGTCGCTAGTTAAGAAAAGACATATTTATGTTAACAAAAATATTTGGAACAGAATCTGCAGTTTTGTTATAGTTTGAGAACTGTTTCTTTCCCGATTCAAACATAGATTTTTTTTTTTATCCCTGTAGATCTTCAGCCTCTATAAATGAAGCCACTGACAATATAACATAATAGTGTATTTTATCCAGGGACCTCAAAGCACATTATACATTTAGCAAAATCTCACTACATGCCTGCAAAGTAGCTAACTAGTATTACGCCCATTCTAAAGGCAGGTATATAGAGGCAGAGATATTTGTCAATCATGGAAATTCTTGGAGTTCTTCCTTCCAGGCATATATACCAATTACTGGTTTTTACTCTCTGCATTTCCAGGAAATAGCATGCAGGGAAGAGTGAATGTATATGTTCTATATCACCTTCCTACCCATATTCATTCCCAACCCCCCAAACCTATGGACACTTGTACACATGATGGTAGGGCCATGTACATGTGACAAAAAGTCATGAGAAATTGTCATTTGTCTAACATACTGGCATCGCTGTGTACACATGCACAATTTTGTTTGTGTTACAATTATTTGAATATGGCAACCTAGACCACCTCAGATATATTTTAGTTTGATTAGGACAAATTGTCCTATTGTGGATAAAAAAAAATTGTGCATGTGTACATGTCTGGAGGCCAGAGAAGGCAGTAGAGATGGTGTACGGGCTGCTGGAAGCCTAGGCAGGCTCGCAGAAGCTCAGGCATGGCATGTTTCCAGCACCCTGTGTACTGTCTCTACTAGCTTTCTGGTCACCAACACACCCAGCTGCCCTCCTGCCACCTTCCTGCATTGCACCAGGGGCAAGCCAGCCCCTTCCCAGGCAGTCTCAGGCAGCGAGAAGGTGGAAGGGACAGCATATGGGGTGTTGGAAGCCACCAAACCTGAGCTTCCCTGAACACACCTGGGCTTCCAGTGCACCGTGCACTGCTGGATCGGGCCTGGTGTTGCCTGTGAGCTGGGGCAGCACCCACTCATCTAGCACCCTGCCTGGGCAGCCCTGGGGGGCACCGCTGCTATGGAGGGAAGCACCAGGGGCTCCCCACAGCCCAGAGGTTGCACAGTCCAGTGGCAGCTTGCATGGGCATGCTCTGCCAAGACAAAAAAAGAAAGCAGCGAGCCTGATCCTTTTTTCCCTTGTGGAGCTTGCCTGGCTCTCCCACAGCCAGGGGGCAAGCAGTGGGGGCCCTGGACCTTCCCTCCACAGGGGTGGCACCTGCCCCCCTGGGGCCACCCAGGTGGGCTACTAGTTGGCGGGTGCCACTTGGGGGGCACTGCCACTATGAAGGGAAAGGACTAGGGCCCCCTGCAGCTCAGGGGCCACCGCAGCTCACCCCCTAGTCATGGGAAAGGCAAGAAAGGTCCATGAGGAAAAAAAAAAGGATCAGACCTCTTGTGGCTTTTTTTTCTTCCTGGGTAGAGCCTGCCCATGGCAGCAGGGGGGCGGTGAGCTGATGGCGGGCCATCACTGCTCCGTCACAGTGATGGAAGCCTCTAGGTGGAAATGGTGGGCCACAATTAAAAACCCACAAATTAAAAACCCACAATTTTGATTTAGGGGAACTAACCCCCCCTCACATGTACAAGTGCTCTGTAAAATAATACTACTAAGTGTACATAAGATTTTCTCATAGTGTATGCTGTTTACATATAATACCTAATAAACATATTCCATCACAAGTTAATATGTCCCCATGGTATAATTACTTAAAACAGACATGTATTCAACCTACTGTAAAGAAAATGGGAATGATACAAAGGAGAGAAAAGTGACACTGTTTAGAACAAGCTGTCTCATTTTCTAAAGTGTATAATATTTTCCTATGCAAAAACTACTTTACAAATACCTTTAGAAATACTGATGGAACCAATGATAATATTGTCCGATTTGTAAAGTTACAGCCCATAGTTTGTGTAGGATGTTTGTAGTTTTAGTTATAAATCTAATGATATCTGAAATAGTAATGAGTATGTTGCTCCAATAATATTGACTCAATCAGATCATATGGCAAAACATTTCCAGACATATTGATAAATTCATTGATTCCTCCCATTCTTGTAGTCACTGGACTAGAGAAGAAAGGATCAGTAGCCATTTGACCTTCATTGTGTATTAAATAAACACCAGATGGCAAGGATTCATTCAGTAAATCTATTCTTTCTTCTTCATAGTCATGTTCACACTGTTGCTTCCCACTGAGTCTTTATCTTTATTTGTCATGGTGCCAAAGCTGCCTCTATAGCACCTTTCATGCATCACAGCTTTCAAATCTTGTCCCATTAGTTTCATTTTGTTTCTATCATAAATAATCTACTACTTTCTCATACACTCTTCCATTACCTAATAATGTTCAGTCTTTGTACAAAAGGATAAAGTATTAAAAGGTTAGTGAGTACAGTTTGTCTGCTTAGTCTCTATGACACTATTTATTAAAGGGAAAAATGTAATCCTCAGGTAATAATCCATGAACTCCAAAGAACACCAGTAACTTCAAGCAACATAAACATTTTAATGTTGCACTTAAAATAAAAAGAGATGCATGTGTTTTAAGACTGACCCTACCCAGAAAAACATACTGCCACAATATGATCTTTTCAGGGTAGATTTTAAAATGCACAAATAGCTGTTAGGTGCCAGCTGTAATCTAGGGTTTGTGGGGTTGAAAATCCTTTATATTCGAATTTTGAAAACTCTGGACATCAGGTATGTGTGGTCAGTTATAGGGTAGGAGCTATTTGCATCCAGGTTCAGTTTTCTAAAACACCGAAAGTTCAGGATTCAGGTTTTTTGTTCAGATTTGCATCTAAACTTATATATGCCCTAACAACCATGCCGTCACAAATGTATTCTGCTTCTATATACAGATGTCCATAAAACTGCCATCCTGGTTTACCATAGTTGGGACTTATAGGCATTTACCAATCATCTCACAAGTTTTAACTTATTGTTTTATAATTAAATGTCAATTCTAGAAAAAAATATTTTAAGAGAGTTCTTAAATGGGAAAATCTCAATTATAAAAGCCAAAAGGAACATCATTTGTGTTTTGCAATGATCTTTTTAATAAAAACAGTGCAAAGTAAACAAACATTTATAACTGTTGAAAATGTGTTGGCTATTGAACTCTCTAATGACTGGGACTTTCATAATGGTAGTTTCCTCAAGAAATTAAGTGTCAAATTTTAGGTACTGCAGTGCGGATGCCCTGAAGGCTTTCTCCCTTTCTGTTGCTTCTACATCATAATCAACAGTTACATGACTATATGTATTCCCTGAGCACAAGGGGATATTAATGCTGTCAGAAGAACAAAGTGGCATCCCTGAGTGAGATAGGTTGTTCTGCTAATTGGAGTAGTTGCTTCAACACAACTTTCCTAAAGGGGATGGCAAGAATTGTGACTGATCCCTTGCCCCATTATTGGTGCATCTTTTGACATTATGAAATAGAGGCCAATTTTAACCTGACCACTCATCAGAAGAATTAGGAGAAAAAGCCAAAAATATGCATTGGGAAGGGAAAGGAGTTTTTGCCTCCCTGACTATTCTAATCTTCGGGTTGATTCTACCAGCCAGATAGGGAGGGAAAAAAGCATTGGCCCACTTGTTCATCTTATTACCTCTATCCCATCATCAAGGTGACACAGTGGTTTGATCCATCCATCTCAAGTGATGTGACTGGTCAGTTCACTTGGACCAGTCTGTACTTGTCATCCTCAGTCAAGCCAATCTTCCTGAATAGGGCAGGAAAAGACAGAGTTAAATCTGAGACATCGCACTCCCAGAAATGTATAGTAAACACAGGGACCTGGGTGAAGCCAAAAAGAGAAGCTGTGTTCTGAGGAAGAAAAAAAAAATATTCAAATATAAATGTCTCTCTCATTGCCAGAGGAAAAATTTTGAGTAGCATAAATAAATTTCAGATTTTAAGTAACATAAATAGATTTTTATTAGATAATTTTGTTACATAAAAGCTTGGCCAAAATAGAAGTTCTTCCAGTTAAAAAGGAAAAAGATGTAAGAATCCTCCCCTACTGCATATATTTTTTCAGATATAACTTCCTAAGCTTTTTCTTTAACGTAGCCCACAGTAAGAAGTCCTGAGGTCACTAGACATTGGGCTAAATGTAACAAAGTAAAACAAAACACTTGGAGAAACCGATGACCTCTGTGTCATGCTTTTAACACGGGTGTTTTCTGGGGGGTAGACCTGACTAGAAAGACTCATAGGTTTTGTTCTCTTCCCAGCTCTAACATACAGAGCTAGCAATGCAGCAGTTTGTTCTGTTTATTGTGACCTCTGTGATGATTACTAGTTCTAAATCTGTTTACTCTCAGGGGGAGTGATTTTAGTCATTCTGCTTACATTTTATTTTTAAATCACTAACAATGATACCGTGTATTTAAATCAGCCCATTTATCCTAGGGACAGTCTCTCCAAGATTATATTTAGTGTGTACAAAGTCTCCAATATAAATGCAGCATCAAAATCGTATTTTAATTTCATCTCTTAGTTTTTTTGCAGTTATGATAATTGCAAAGGTTGAGTATCATGGCTGGGTCAGGGTTATTTCCTCTCCTTAGAGCTCAGAGTAAAAATATTTGCTGGAGGAGGGATGATGTCATTTTAAACCTGCTATTTATCTCTGGGAGCTGAAAAAGACAGAGTGTAACCCCCTCATGCATAAAAATATCACCTTAAGTTTATATTTCACTACTTTTTAGAAGTACTGAAGAATATGCCACAATATGTCTTGTTCTAGCAGCTAAAAAATTATGCTATGACTAAAATGACATCATTCTGCCTCCCACAGAATGTTTTGGCTCTGAGAGCTCAGGGAGCAGATGTAATTAACAGGAAATGTCACTGTCACACAGTTAGGAGGAAAAATATTAACATCTCCTGTGTTTCTTGGGCATCACCTTGACAAGTCTGAGAGGTCACTATAAAGCATCTCATAAGAACCTATAGAGAGTAAAATATCCATCCCCCCATTGCTGAGGACCAGCAGAAGGCAAATGAATCATACACATCTTTAAAATAAGTATTAAATGGGATCCAAACTGATCTGTAAGATGTGTGTTGGGCTTTTCCACCAGGGTTTGAAAAGGTTCCACCGTCTTCCTTTTTAGGACAGCCAGTGGCTGAATTTTGACTTGGTGCAAGTTAAAGTAATCAGCATGTGACATGTAAATCAATGTATTTCTAATCCCCTTGTTTGGGTGTCGATACAACTTTTTCTGCGGTTTATTAGCTGCCTGGCAAGCCTAGGCTTTGGGTTTTGCTGGTCAGTTGGAGGGGCAATGTTTTTTTTTATCTCTTGTGAATGCTGTATTTGCTTTTGTTTCCTCTGGGGGACTGGGCATTGGGCAAAACTAAGGCTGAGATCACTGGTACTCCTGCCAGTGCTTAGATACCTCCTATGTTCCTGGCTAGAAGGTTTTGCTCTTCCAGTCAGGCAGGTTCTGGATGAGGGAGAGGTTAGCACCCACATCTCCCACTCCCTGAGCAAGTTCTGTAGCCACTAGACTCCTCCAGCATCCATAGTTTCATAGTTTGTAGGGTCGGAAGGGACCTGAGCAGATCATCAAGTCCAACACCCTGCCATGACAGGAAAGACTACTGGGGTCAAATGATCCCAGCAAGGTGTTCATCTAGCCTCCTCTTAAAGACCCCCATGGTAGGAGCCAGCACCACTTCTCTTGGAATTTGGTTCCAGATCCTAGCCGCCCTAACCATGAAGTAGTGCCTCCTGATATCTAGTCTGAATTTACCCTCTGCCAGCTTGTGACCATTATTCCTAGTCACTCCTGGTAGTGCTTGAGGGAACAGGGACTCCCCCAGTGCCTGCTGGTCCCCTCTGACTAGTTTGTAACAGGCCACTAGATCCCCC